AATATCGGCGTCCCGATCCGAGTATCGGATCGGGACAAGCCTAGTACCTGTGGGAGCATCAAGCACCGTTATTTGCTAAATTGAAGATAATGTCTATACCTTCTTGAAATGAACAAGTTACCTTTAGCATCAGGCATTAGTAAAACAGATACTACCATTATGTCACCGAAGCAAACAGCTTGGTGATTGTACTTGAGCATGTCAATCAGAGTTGCTGGATTGTGTGTTTGATTAGTTTTAAGAGAAAGTAATTTCACACTTTCTGTAAATCGTGCAGTCTTATATAATTTCAGCTGCATCTTTGCACAGGTAACAATTTATAAAGCGGTACGAAAAGTCATTGAAAGGGAGTGACACTGCAAGGGAGAGAAATTTCACCATGACATCTGTGATCTAAAATCAGCTTTTACCTGCAATCTAAGTTAACTATGATAGTAGAAAAAATACAGAAAGTCAGCAAGAATTTAGATTTCCTTTTTTTTTAAGCATTCGTTTCAGAAACAGATCTTTAATACTTTGATACTTTAAAACTTTTCATACTGGCCCATGCCTGGTTCTGATTGATGTCACACTAACCGTAAATTCTGTTCTTCCTTTTGAAATAAAATCTATGACATTTGAGCCTAATTTATATAAAGTCATGCTTTAAATCATTTGCTTCTAGCACTAGCAAATATACTAGGAGATACTGTGATCCCAGTCCTCCCTAATATGCTCAGACTAAAAAGTTGTTCTAATTAAGAAAAACAAGCCAAATTGTTTTACACTGTTACACAAAACAAAATAATAATATTTTATGTATATTAATATATATTTGCGCAGATAGGGAAAATCACAGAAGAAGGAGCAAGAATGAGAACAGCAGAGTTGAAAGAAGAAACGTTTAAAAACAACGACAACAACAAAAAGACAACAAGAAAGGCAAAGGGAGCACAGACCTTCGACAAGCTGCACATTTTGCCCCAAATTGTGACTAAATGTGTCTACAATCACTCTCAATGCATTCTGGAAATCAAAGTATCTGATTTCCATGCAAAGTCTATGGGAAGATGTGTCAAGCAGCCCTGAGAGGAACTGCAGCCAAACTCCAAAGGTTTTTAAAAAAAACAAGAGAATGGGTTTTGTAGAAAAAACAGAGAGCGAGCTCTGATGATTCATTTCACCCAAACTGTTTTTAAAATGAGCTATGGTGAAACAGTGTATGAATACACAAATTGACTAAAAGTGTTAAAACTTAAAAAACAACAATATTCGATTGTTTATTCTGGTACTTGCAGTTTTTTCTACCACAAACCTTAAATTCACTTCCATCCGCTATGAACGACATGCTGAAGGTCTCCCCCACCCAAACTGCATATTTTAGTAGGATCCTAATCCTGATGAATTGACGACACAGTTCATATTTTGAGGTGAACTTTTACGATTGAAATGTGTTAAAACAATTTTTCCGAAGTCATCAAAGTAAATAAAGCCAAGCTGTTCCAAGCTGCCTCGTAACGACAGAACAGAGCAGAACCAATACTGAGGCTGTCAATACTCACTGCTGCCCCTCTGGTTTTTTAGGGAACTGCTTATTCCTACCCCACAGCTTTAGGGGACTGTGGTGGATACAGACGGGGTGCGGGGGGCATGCGCACCCCCCTTTTGGAGAGCAAAATAAATTTTTTCTGCCTGAAATCTTAAACATACTTCATTCTATTAAGATTAACAGCTGGTACTTGTCACCTAGAACGTTGCTGAGACTCCGGCAGATATCCGAGCATAAATTTGAATTGCTTACAGCTCAGGTCTCACCTTACTATAACAGGTTTGTTTGACTTCAGAGGCTGCATCTTCCAAAGAACCGGTCTATCTGGACTGGATCCTTCTAGAACCCGGTCTCTGTGGACTGGATCCTCCTAGGACCCAGTCTCTTTGGACTGGATCCTCATAGGACCCAGTCTCTTTGGACTGGATCCTCCTAGGACCCGGTCTCTCTGGACTGGATCCTTTGAGGGAATGTAATGATATAAAAGGGGTAGAAAGATTTTATTTAATCTAAACAATGTATGTTTAAAAAATATATCTGCAAATCTCTTACATTCAACAACCAAAAATTATTTAGTTAAGCAATTTGTTTAAAATAGCAATTAAAAAATACGAGAAAAAAAAACACAAAAACTATTCAATAGTAAATTAGGTCATCAAATAGAGATATAAACATTGGCAAGGAACAACCACTGACTGAAAAAGATAAAGAATATAAGATTTAAGACGGAATTAAAAATGACATAACAGAAAAGACAGAAAAGCATTGAGTCTGTTAGTATCGGTGGGAGACATCTTCTTTAAGGACAAAGTAAGTATATTTATTTCTTTTTAAATGCTGTAATTGTAAAGCGAGTTTTGGTTAGAGAACATTTTTGTATGAAAAATTTGACCATGCTAATTATGTTAATAATTATAATTTCTACTTCTTTATCTTGGGCAATAATATCAAATTTAATTGCGGAGGGGGAGAGAAAATGAATGTTTAAGGATTTAGAGACATGACATGACAGGCAGGCAGACATGCAGGCAGACTGGACTAAAAACATCATAACCTCCTTGGCGTAGGTATGAATCATAGTACAGAGGTGGAATAGGTCTACAGGACGCTATTCTGCTCTCTGAATAAGAAGCTGGTGAAGATTCTCAGTCATCATAGTCATTCCAGAAAAGTTCAAAACAATCCACTGGACTTTGAACTAAATCCCTCTGAATTAGATGGGTAAACCAAGACTGAATTAATATTCATCATATAAATGAGAACACATCAATATACTATTGCAATTATAATTATAATAAATATAACTTATAATTATAATTATAAAATAATTAATATTGTGACCATACCAGTAGATTATATAATTTCAATCTCTCTCATTATTTGACCAAACCTGCCATGGTAATGTTGAAGTATTTTCTGAGCAGATGATAAAGTCTAACTCTCCGTCTTCATAAATCGTGTATGAACTGATGTAAGCCGCTTTTTTATGTTCTTTAAAAACATTTTTATCGTCATTAATATTCATTTTAACCTGCAAACTAAAACCCCTCTTGCATCTGCTCTGTTGGGCCAGTCATACCTTCTCCTTGTGTGAAATGAAGCTTAAGGAGCTGAAATCAAATCTTGTTTTTTTCACCAGCAGAAGAAAAAAGTGTTTATCTACAAACAAAGCCGAATTCACAGCTGAGGGGACGGAGGGAGCTCACCTCACTGAGGGCTTCAGCCTGGCAGACGCACAGCTGTCCAAAGTCTGGAGCTGCAGATTTTTCTCTGTTCCGAGTCTGAATGCTGGCTTCACGGAGTGGAAAGATCAGTTAGTGAGCTGGTAACGAATCCCTTCATTTATCCTGACTCGCTCCCTCTGTTTCAACCGCATTACAGCTGCAGTACTGCTGCGCGCGCGAGCGTCTGTGCGCTATGGTACATGTGCGCAAAGGGTGGCCACAGGAAACCAGACAATAGCACCTCGAGGATGGAGGAGGAGGAGGGGTGATATGAGTCGGCTGGGCTGTAGGGAAAGGACAAGGGGCCCCTATTGATTCCTCCTTTTCCAACGTGAAAAACGTCCAGGTTTTCTGGACTAATTAACTCAACCCATGCTTAATACATGATTTTGCGTTTTTCTGTCTTATAAAAACAAACTTTCACTTTTCAACTATTGTCTTGAAAGGTAGCTAGAGGGACCCATGTCTGTCTGTCTAGTTGGCTGCTCTGAAGTCCTGTTGAAAGGCTCTTAGTTTACACCATTTCTTAGCCGCCTAATGATGTGAAACATAGGAGTGCTGCATTTGCATTTCAATTCAAAAACAATCTTTTTGGGTATTTGTTTTGTTTTCTATTTCTTTTCATACATATAATGATTTTTTCCTATTTCTATCAGAGCTCGACAAACTAGAAAAAAAAAAGAAAAATATTAGAAACTTTGCTGCTTAGTTTTTAGAAACTTTGTTTCTGAAATAAATAAAAGAATATATAAAAGTAGTGGCTCTCATTTGAATACAGAAATATTTCCCATTCCAAATGTGTAACGTATAAGGAGACACAATTCTATGTCTATTAGGGTTATCCTAAACCTAATAACCTAACCCAATACAACCTTTTCCTTTCTAATATGATACACATATCACAGCTTTTCTTGTATTAAGGAATGTTAGAAAAATGTTGATGTCGTATTTTCACTCAAAGAACAAAAGTCAACTGTTTGAGAGCAACTAACCCTGAAACCAGAAAAACTATTTCTTTGACTTATATCGGACTGATATTATTATTGGATTGAGACATTCCCTTATGTATATGTATAATACAGATGTATGGACGGACAGACAGACAGATAGATAACGAATAATCGAGTAAGGTATTGTACAGTCACATAATGAGTTGAAATAGCAATGGAGGTAGTATAAGACCAACAATTACTTGGAATCGATCAAGAAAAAATAAGTTTTTTTCTCTGTGCATAATCTTTGCAAACATTGGTGAAAAAAGCAGGTCTTGATCCTCCGTATTTTATTCTTATTAAAATGTCTTTCATATTATACAATTAAAACCTGAAGCTACATTAATGTCACACATTTTACATAATGGTAGGCACTGAAGTATTTTATTAGTGAGGTGGCTGGGTTATTACAAAATGTTGATTTTTGTACTTGTTTTTGTCCAACTTTAATATTTTCGTTAGGACCTATTGTAAAGTATTTATATAAGTATTTATCTTAAGTATCAGAGCAGCGGGACAGCCATAAAATGTTATATCTACACAGAGTGGCCTCCAGAAGCTGAGGTATGACATAGTCCTGAAGTCCTCACAGGAATAATAGTTATAGAAAAAGAAATCATTATAAAAGGCCTAAAATACACCCAGTCTCTAAATTCTCATAAAATAACAAAAAGGAGAAAGGTTATATCTCAGAATAACATTATCTTGAAATTTAGGTTGATCAAAGTGCTGCCACACCATTGTTAAAACACCGTTATAATGTCTGAGACCACTAAGAGTTATTTTTAACAAGGTGGCAGGGCGGTGTTGGACAGGTTCGCATTGTATTCAGGATGGCATTGAGCTGTGACCATGTGTGATTGTCTTTGTGAGCACCATACAGACAGACAAGAGGGGAAGTGGTCTTTGAGGTCAGGGTCTGTCAGGCTGATCACTTCACAATAGCAACAGGGAGGACAGGAAATCCTGCTTACTACTGAAGTCATACACATGTACAGTAGGAACAGCACTGCACACAGCAGCAGATGTCCTCAATCCCCCTAATTGTTGGTTTTTAATGAAGAACATCTGTTCATGAATGCATGAGTTATGTGACAAAACTGTCATGATTCTGCCTTTTGATAATAAGTCTAAGTCTAAATCTCAAACTGCTTCCCAGGCGCTGCACAATGGCAGCCCACTGGTCCCCAAGGGGATTGGTTAAATGCAGAGGGTGAATTTCATTGCTTTGTACTTGTGAAAGTGTAACGACAATAACACTTCTATGTCTTCTATTCTATTCATTCCTCCATTCCTTTGGTTAATTCCTCAGTAATGTCTCCTAGATTTTGGTTCCTGAGTTTCATGTCCATCTATTCTGGGTTATATCTAGTTTTACTTCTTCATTATATTTTGCAATAAATCATCTATGCCTCTTCAGCTCTGCATTTGGGTCCTCAGAAAGTATCTATTAATCCTGACAGCAGAATTCAGCCACCATGGAGCCAGCAGAGCCAAGCCTGAAACACCAAAAAGCACATTATTTTCTTTTCAGTTTTTTTTTTTCACAACAGTGTCGTGTCTAGCAATAAGGCAATAGGAATTGTTGTCTATTTCTTAGATACAATTAATCACGGTTAGAAAATAATCACAGAAAACCAAAATTAAAATAGGGTTTACTTTTATTAATAATACTTGTCACAGTTTTGTTATGATATTATGTTTAATGAACTAAGCTACTGGAATGAATACAGAATATATTAAAGAATCAGTAAACATTAAAAAGGGGATCCAATAAGTTCTTGAGTAAGTCTTTGATAATATTCAGTTCAATTCAGTTCATATATATATATATATATATATATATATATATATATATATAGTGCCAATTCACATCACAGGTAGTCTCAAGGCACCAGATCGTGCAATCAAATTGATTCAAAGTTTTCTATCTAAGTAAAACCAGTTGATTGCATCGACTCATTGACTCTTCAGCAATCCCTCACACTAAGCATGCTTGTATCAACAGTGGAGAGGAAAAACTCCCTTTTAACAGGAAGAAAC